CTTCTATGTCCTCACCCCCTCCCTTTCAGGACCTCTCAGGGGCTCAAAAGGAAAAAATAGCTGGCTACGCCCTTGAAGAACTTACAATCAGTATCATAAGCAATAGCTACGTTTTAAATTTGAGTTCTTCCAAAGCGTATCATTGAATGACTTAGTGTTAGCAAGAAAAGCGCAGATCCCCATAAACTTATGTTAAGTATCATAATCAATAACTATTGTCTTTGAGATGTTGTTAATTTGTAGTATAATAAATAGCTGGACAATTTCTGCATATTGTTAATAAGTTTTTGTTTTGGGAATTGTTCTGTATATGACTGACAACGATATTTTTGCGAACGCAATGCTGGGGTGAAAAAATAACTTAAGAGTAGATTCTTTGCTCTTCAAAGCCGTCAGTGTAATCACAGGTGGCCGCTACTGGGGGTATCAAGGACATATCCCATACTATTTAATACCGTCAACCCAGAGGTGTGGGAATTATATATCGCAACCATCTCCATTCCCTATTGCCGAAGGGTTTGGATTTGCTTCCATATCCTAAGGTTAACCTGCGTCTGCGAGCTTATTCAAGACTAAGACCTCGTATGGGGGAGCGGGGGGTGGGGGGGGGGGGGGGGTTTTCGCAACCACAGGTAACCCTCTGCTATTGCCCAAGGGTTTGGAATGCTTTCACGTCCTAGGTTTAACCTGTTATTTCTTATTACTATTTTTTATACTTTTCATATAAAGGAAATGAACAAATCTCACTTTATAACGAGGTTTCAGGCTATTCGAAAATAACCTGTCCCTCCCAAGTAACCATATCGGCTATTTTTGAGCCCGTTTCTCATAACTGCCTGTAATTAACCAGCCTAACAAAGCTGTAGCCTTCATAGCATACATATCTTTGTGCTGCTCTGTCGCCATCTTGGATGATGATATTGACAGAGGGTTAACGCAAGCCAAAAATGATTGCAAGCCGAGGAAAGGACGACGGGCCTAAAATAGAGAAAGGGGAGCAGAGGGAAAATACGCCTGCGCACAGTCATTGTTGGTTTGGCGAACACGTACACTAGATAGACAGAGAATCTGATCGGTGATGATGGTAGCATTTTGATTGCTAGCTGCCAATCAAAGCCACGTTTTTTCGGTCCTTTCGCGCGGAGAATTTAAGCATAATTTACGTGCTTCTTGACATTTTTGACGGTAGTCGCGACGCAAAGATCATGAGAAGCTTCAAAAAGCAAAGCACAAGGGAAGACTCAACGTGAAAAGGAATGCGGTGCTTCTTATTTTTAAGTCCTTCCCATGACCTGTTGCGCCGCCACTACCGTAGTAAATCTCAAGAAGCGCCTGGTTACGAGGCAGCTCTCGAGGCGCAAGCTGACGTTGAATGCTGTTTTTAAATATACCACTCACTGTTGGAAAAGTTGTGGGGCTGATAATCTTGAACAAATCGCCAAACTGACAATTTTGGGACCGGGTTGAAAACGTGAACAGAGTAAACCTCTGCATCAGTGCTATTTGACGGCAAACGTCTGCAAGCACATTTGTTAACGAATCTTTCTACGGCGACGGTTTAACCAGATTTAGCGAGGAGAAGTATTTTTTACCAGTGAGGCCCCTTAACTTCACTTTAAAATAATATTTACAAACCTTACTTGGAAGTAACGTTATATTTCTAGCTACCTGCATTCACCAAAATTGATCAAATACACCTGTCAATGTTGTTGACTTCCGAAGGCAATTTCGGCTTCTAGTGAAAACGAGCTAAATTTTCATTGGCCTATAAAACATTTGAAGAAAAGAGATCAACCGCAACTAATTTGAGGGGTGTTCGATAATCTCATAGGCTTTGTCGGAAAGCGTTTTTCCTTTCTCTTCCACTCACCCTCCTCCCCTTTCCCCTCCCCGGCCCACTTCCAATATTCCAGTTTTTTACTTGCTTCCAAAATAGTACTTAACACCTTGTCTAGTCCCTCTACGGTGTTTTCCCAGTCCTTATCGGTCAATTCATTTCGGTGACGTATCCGAGGCGAACATTTTCGCTTGGACCACGTGACCCGAAACGTTTTGGCCGCGCGGAATAATGAGGCCTAGGGACTGGTCAACTTAACACCATGGATCAAAGTTTCAGAACGAGCATGCTTAAAAAACCTTACCCCAAGTAAAAAGAAGGTATACGTTAGAGAGATCCTCTCTTGGGGGGTCTTGTTCCATACAGTCAAAACCCTCTTTACGGACACCTGCTTAATACAGTCACCTCATTACGGACAGTTTGTTTTGTCCCTTGGAAAAGAATGCACTTATATTCTCTCTAAATTCAACTGGCTTGATACGGATACCTCGTTTATACGGACGCTTTTTAAGGTCCCATCACTGTTCGCATTAACTGGGTGTGACTGTACTTTGTGCTTCACATTATACCGGGACGGTGATTATTCAGCGGTTTTATCGAGATTGCACTGTACTTCATGACCCCATGCCATGAATTATCCCAGTTTTCTGGCACTTAGCTAAAATCTGATTGAAGCAATCAGATTGACCTTAAAACATGTACAGTTCGTAACACGTCTGGAAAATCAAATCGTGAACTTCGAGTAATAAATTGGTTTCATTGCCAGCCATTTTACGAAAACAGAAAAAACCAGACCTTCCCCCTTTTTACCCCACTGTTACACAGTAACAACATGGTAACGTTACCCTGCCAGCAGGGGTTTCTTTTCGCTATGGTTTTAGCATCCATGAAGTCTTATTCGTAGGTAGAATTCACGTAGTTGGCTTGTTTACTTCCTTAATGTTTAAAACCATGCCGGAACAGACAAACTTCTACAAGCAGGGTAGGTAACGTGGCTGGATCTAGGAGGTTTGATAAAGAGGAGGTAGGTAAAAGAGGATCGAGTAGGGAAGTTCAACTCCTTTCATCTATTGAATCTGTTTAATTGTTGGTCATTTTCACCCTTTCTAGCCTTTGACATTACTTCTTCAAGGAAACGTCAAGTATATAGACCTCTAATATCATCATGATTCGTGCAACACACAATTTTAACTACTAAATTAAACTCCCTGTTAAATTAGACGCGCGTGTCAAGTCTCAGAAACACAGTGTGGTGCAGTCCAGGTCAAGGAACGTCTTAACATGACCCCAATATCACTATCTGGTCCTCACAAAGTATATTACACGCTGCGTTTTACCTTTTTTTACTACAGTGTTACTGGGAGATGTGAGCCACTTTCAGACATCTGGAACATTCGCAAAAAAAGCCATACAAAAAAGGTTCACAACATTCTTCTTGTCGGTTTAGTTGTACGTTTTGTCCAGATTTCGTCAATTTATATAACAAGCCAGTGGTTTAAAAAGGTGTACTGATCATGACTGAGAGTGCAAAACAAGCTCCATTGTAAGCTACCAAATGAAGGCTGTATGCGAATGTTCAGCCTTTTTTCCAGTTTCAAAACAGTTGGTCTGATTGGTGCTTTTTACGGACCCTCCCTCCGACCCCTACCTATATTCGCTACTCTATTAACGTACGAAATTTCAAAGTTTATTATATACATGTCTCTTTCACTTCCTGAGTATAGCAGCTTGCATCCAGGGCTCTTCAAATGGATTTGAATTCCAACTTTTGCAATTATTTCTTTTCATCCATCGCCATCCACAACACTAACTAAAGACCCGGGGAGTACTCCCTATAATGGCCTATACGGGGAGGCTCCGCCCGAAAGGGGTATCTTGTTCAGGCCTCAGGTATATGAAAGGGTAGGGATTTCACTAGTTGAAGTATACAAAAGGGTAGGAAAATCTGTCATTTGGGTCTGTGAAAGGGCTAACAGATAAATTTTATGGTTTTATAAAGTCGAGAAAACGTTGAGATGTATTTTTGTGATTGATTCCTATTTGAAAGACGAGCGCATTTACAGCAGTTAAAAGGGATGAAAAGTTCTAAACAAGGTATGTTAAAGGGGTACCATTTGTCAATAGAAGGTATACGAAAAGGGGTACCTTTTTCATGAAAATGGTATATAAAAGGGTAAGGGGTTGGACCTCGGGGCGGAGCCTCCTTGTATAAACATTTGTTGAGTACCCTCCTCCCCCCGGGACTAAAAGTCATGGTCACTGATTTGGAGAATCCAGCTCCTCTTGCCCTGCTTTATGACAGGCCACCAGAAGTTGCTTAGTTCACTTGTGTTGAGACTGCAACTGAGAACAGAAAGTCATTTGTGTTATTTTAGTTAGCGGGAAGCTATCAAGTCTAAAATTAACGTTTTTCGCAAATTCAAAACATTCATCCAGAAATCTACTACTCGCAAAAACTAGAATGCAAGAAAAAATCATTAAAGTTCCAAAATTTAAAATAGAAAAAGAAAAGGTGAAAAGTTGCTGTAAGTCTTGGACTTGATGGCAATGATTTTAGGCAGGAGTCAATTACTGTTTTAGGTAATTCAAACATGGTTCTTTTTCTAAGATTTTTCCATATTTTCTCTCTGCTTCACTATCATCTGTGTCCTACAGTATAAAATCTTTCAAAACCGTCTTTGGTACATTCACTAAACTTTATGGTCGGCTCTCTCTTTTTGGCGCTGGTCTTTTTCACTGAGCAGATCAAAGAATGGTATTATACCCTTTGTAACTTCGGTATTTGTTTCCCCTAAATCGCGAATACGATTTCTGAATTTTCGCGCGAAAATTTGTAAGAATGAGATTCACTCTAGACGTATATCTACTTATAGTGTTGTGGTGTGGGTACTGTTTAGGCCAGGCGCTATGATTAGTTATGGCTCCTGGTTTAGGCTGCAAGTAGTTCCATATTTTCTTCAAATTAATGCTTTTAGTACAGGAAGTACACGCGCAGGAGAGAGCCACCCTTAGTCACGCGCGTGGTTATTTTCGTGTATCGCGCCTTTCGCTCTATGGACTGATAAAACGGAGACTACTCGAAGCGTCTAGGTACTGTTAGGTTACAGTAACTCGCGAAACTGGCCTTGTACCTATTTTTGACCGAGTAGAGAAAGGCTCACCTTTATTTCTTCTTTTTAGATTCTGTTGGCAAATGTACGTGGACGAATTTTATTCTTGTCTCGGACAAACCAATGACAACAAGAGGCTGGTACAAACAGACTCCCAAACAGAGCGGTCGCTCACCAATGTCTAAAATACTTAGTAGATCTCCGGTTCTGATATTATACAGTCGAAGGAAGTTGTCCTCACTGCAGCATACCAGAGATTCATCATCTAAAAACTTACATTGAACAATATCTTTCTGGTCTCTAAGAAAGACGTGCAATGTCTCTCCAGTTTCCGCCTGAAGAACGTGTATACCTTGGCCCGCGTCGAGAGTGTTCCACGTGACTACATAATCATTTTTGGGTGAAAAAATCATGTCTGGGTTGAACAGGTGCATTGAATCGGCAGAAAATGTCGTGTGTCTTTCCCATCTTGTGATACCTTCATTCCTCAAACTCAATGTTACATTCTCCTTGTCTACAAGTCCGTGATTTCCAATCATTATGACCCTGGAACTACAAACCAGCACTTGGCTTAAACTGCTACTGCAAGAGATGCAGTCTAAGCTTTCGTTAACGTCAGCGGCTTTGATCCTTAGCGAGGAAATAAGCTTTCCTCCAAGGTTGGTGACGTCTATGAAGTCAACGCAATCGATGTTACCATCTGAGCATTCTAACAAATCTGCTTTGGACGATTGTTTGTTTTCCTCCCGGTTTTGTGAGCTTCTGATGCATTTTAATTCGTATGATCTCGGGTGGTAAAAGAATGCTATCCGACTATCGGATACAGGGAACATGTTAACTCTGTATAGCTTAGCAGTCTTAGAAGTAAGTTCCACAATACGTTGATTACACTCAGACAGATCGAAATTCCACAGTTCTGCTACTATCCGCGGTTTTTCTCTAGTAACGAGTACGACACCTGTCTTCATTGGAGCGATAGATGTAGGACTAGAGAATGTCTTTGACGTCAGGATTTCTCGAGTTGACATTCTCCAGACAGTGATTGAAGAAGGAGGAGATGACAAGAACATGGATTTTTCAGAAATAATGAAGTAGATCGTATCTCCTTCCAGAGAAAATACAATTTCTCTTTTATGCAAGTCGATTATTCTCTTCGTGTCCGTGAAATCAGACTCACTCTGAAGTATGCCAACATTTAACATCATAACATAGCTGTGCTCCGGGCTGCCAGCTAATACTGTTTCATCGTCAAGTCTGAGGGAGAAACCCGCAAATAAATTTGGCATCCTTCTCTGAATTTTTTTTAACCAGGAAGAGCTCTTGTTCTGCTCCGTAAAATCATTTTTCGTCAAAGCGCCTGATAGAACACGAGGCCACAAGACGAAGGGTTTAAATTCTGCTTCTTCCAGATCCTTCTTTTTTCCAGGTAGATGAATGTTATTTAAAGGTGTAATAAAATTAAACCCAGGTATTCCGTTATAAGCGCTTTCGCAGTAGAGGCAAGAAGCTTCATCTGCGCAAGTAGAATATTGAAAGCCATAAACAAGCGTGTTTTGATCGGATGTAAAGCGCAAGAATCCACAAGCTCTTTGTTCTCCGGAGGAGATGATATTTAAACGAGAGTTTTCTTTTAAGTTTAATATAGTAATTGTATCATAATCATCCATTACCGAAACAGCAATCAACGACCCATCGTCAGAAACGGCAAAGGAAAAAATGTCTTTACTGAAATCGATAGATAAAAAGTTTCGGCCATTTTCCATATCCCAAAAGTTAATCCGCTTTGGCTGCGTCGGGCAATGTGTGATAATGACGTTCTTGTCGACGGGAGAACGTACAACACATTTTGAGAATGTACAGTCACTTTCTGGAAAAAGGTCTTCTTTCTCTCCACTTAAGGTGTAAACATATCGAAGAGTTCCAGGTAGTACCGACCTCCCATTTGGATGAAAGATGACAGAATGATAAAATGACAAAAAATGCCCTATCTGATGATATGCACCACTCACATTTGCATTTCTGAAACCATACTCTCTTGTTATTAGTGATCGTCGAACCCATACTTTGATACCAGTCTGCAGGGAAAACAGATGGATTGTTTCGTCTCGACACTCGCATACTATGTAATCCAATTTAGGTGAAACATCGAACAAGCGATTTTATCTGAACAGTAGAACCTTGCTTGCTCTGATTCCGTCTGTTCCTTACTATCTAGGTTTTTCATGTAGGGTATTGTGGGGAAAGATGATTCGACGATACTTGCTGCTGCAGACGATAATACAGGAATCCCTTCGTTAACCAAACATTGGAAAAATAGGTGAGGGTGATCTAGCAACATATAATAATGTTTTCTTAGAACATTATAGAGTGTTGCAATTGAATGTCTTTGTTCATTCAGTATACCCGAATGTTCGTTGCAAATACGGAAGAGATCCTCCGCGGCAGATGTTCTATTTACACAGAGTTTTGCGTACATAAGCTCTAGGTCCGTCACATACTGGTATACCTGATTGGATGTACCACCCATGTTCCCTGAACCGTCAGTCCATTCATGACCATCATTGGCCTCAAGCATGTGCTGGACAGTATGAATCAAAGCATAACTTTCAGTATTGGTGAACTGTCTGCCATGAACCCCTTTTCGCTTGATGCTATCGAGTTCAGAAGCACAAAGATCCGAAAGGACGTCATGACCTTCTTTCTCGTCCACGGTGAAATCATGTTGTTCATAGGGCGATGATGCTGTTATCCAGTCCTTAATTGACTTGTGAAAAAAGTGAAGACGACCCTCGCGAACTGGTAACAGTGTAGAGATGCAACATATTGCTTTGTTAACTTTTCGCTGCGCGGTCAAAGACTTTTCTCCAGGGTATAGAATTTTGGCAATGAATTCTACTGGTAATGGTTCTCTTGAAGCTGTCAATGCACACAGGAAACGCAAAAAATGTTCCTCATCTGCATTAAGCTCTTTGCAAAGTTCATTCTCTAACCGTTTGAAATAGGACAAGTAAACAGATGAAATACCTGAAGGCAATACGCTTTCCAGCTGATCAGGGGTGAGAATTGAAACATTCTTTTGGACAAAATCCACTATAAAATAAGCGTAAATAAACAGGCCTTCTGATTTCTTAACCAGCTCTTTTAAGAGAACATCTTTATGCTCTTCTCCAATTTTGTTGCCGAGTTGATTTTCAAACAAGGTTTGAATGTCATTTAAGTTTTCCTCACGCTTTTGTTCAAGCTCAATAGGCTCTAAATGTCGCAATGCCTCTGTTATGCTCCTCTCTGGACGAGTTGTGATCAAAATGCTAATCCAAACTGGAAGCATAGAAAAGTGGTTACTGATTACATGTAGAAGCTCATTGCGTCCTTGGTACTCGCTTTCATCGAGGCCATCTATAACTATTAGGGTGTTTCTTCCAGGATCTTGTACTGTGCTTAGAGGCTCTTTGAACAGCAACGCAAACAGTTCTTCTACACCCATGTTGTTGAGGTCTTTACCCAGATTTCTTGACAGCTGTTCTTCCAGAGTATCTTTGTAACTTGGCATCGCTTGACACAAGTGACAGGCCAAAGACTGGAGCATTAAACGCGGATCTCGGTACCTTGAATTGTTATGCTGACAAAAGTGGCTTCCCGAGAGTCTTCCAACCTTTTGCAGTCTTTGCGAAACAACAGCGGAGATAACAGTCTTTCCCATCCCTGGATTTCCACTGATTACCATTACCCGACGTGGCGATGCTCGGTCATCTAACCAGTCTTCAATGCTTTTGAAGATCCACTCACGAGTTCCTTCCTGGAATTTGTTTGCATGAAATTCTATGTCTCTTTTGAATTCCGACTTCACAAGAGTTCTTAGCACTTCATCTGCCTGCTCGTTTCTCTTTTTCGTCAAGCTTTTTACTTCCTCTTTTACCTCCTGAATTGACGCACGAATTTCGTCTTGGGACTCGCACACTCCCTCTAAACGTGACTGTGCTGCCCTCATCTCTTGTTGTCCTGTGAGTTCTATTTCCACTGCTTCATCTACGACATCCTGAGTTTTGCTTAAGGCTTGACGTAGCTCTTCCATCTTTAAAGTGCCATCTTCAACTGTTTTACTGAAATTAAGTTGCGTCTGGTGGATGTCCTTCAACTGCTTTTTTATGTCTCCTTCAAAGTCAGCCCACTCAATTAAGGCATCAAGGTAATCTTCCTCTCCTCCATGCTCTGCCTTCAGTCTGTCAATCTCAGCTTGATCTAAACCGAGCGAATAAAGAGTGGTGCTTATTTCATGCCAAAATGTAGAGAAAGATGTCGCATCAACCCCCGTGGACGTCACGTGACCATATAGCTCATTCCGGAAGAACTTAACGCGAGCAAGGTTAGCCTCAAGAGAGTTATCACCAGGGGATGGCTTGGTGTGCCATCCTGCCAGGGGAGGGGATAAACCACAAATGTTGGTTAGTAGGAGGAACAGAAGAGTGATGTCAAACGTGTTGGAGTCTGGTAGCCCTCCACCAGAGGGGAAGAGTTTGTCCCACTGATGGCCATTTAGTACTCTTCTACGCAAAAGGTTGTTAAGAATGGAGTAATTGGACTTGAGATCAGAGGCTAAGTTGGCAGGAGGGTGAAAATATTGAAAAATATTCCTCAGTGCTGTTGTTCCACCATCAATAAGCAGTCTTCTCAGCTTGTTACCATTTGTCTTCTCTCTTGAGCTGGCCAGGGGTGAAGGTGCTGCTGTCGCCATTTAGCAACCTTGATGCAGAAGATATTCATGTCTTGGAAATTCATTCTGAACCTACGTGGACAAGAAAAATATAACGTGGGTCACACTACAACGATTAACTCGCTCCGTCACCGTTTTTGCTTTGTTTTCATGATTACAATACCGTGAAACTAACACCAAGCCATCCGTAAAGAGAGTTAGCGAATATTGTCAATACGTGACTGTTGATAGGAATACTATCATGATTATACATATATGTTGTGGTTCAAATTTTCCCTCGGTTTAAAATTTTTCAAACCACTTTAATTTTTACTTTCCTTTGTCTAAAATCAATTACCGTAATCAGAGACAAAGAAAAACAAAAATTAAACTGGTTTGAAAAATTTTAAACCAAGGAAAAACCACAACATATATAAAATTTACAACCAATCCCCTCAAGTAGGGTGTTTAGCTTATTAGCTGTCGAGGGTATTTAGTGCAATGAACCGAACTGGAATTACGATCGTGGTTGATTTGAGTTGGCTAGCCGAGCGCATTAAAAGGACGAGAGCTGTGAAGTCCTAAAGTTCCGCTTTACTAGATATTCAGTGAGCTATTAATAGTAATTGCTTTAATTATACATGGCGTTTCCTTTGTGCATAGAAGCAAATACGTAACATTAAAAGTTTGGAAATCATTTACTGCCAGGTCGTTTGTTAGATCCAAACATTATACGTTATCATTTTATTTGAAGCCAACTGAATGAACAAATTATCGGTCTATTGAATTGCAAAGAGGGAGGGAGGGTGATAAAATATACCTAAGCAACACAACACTAACGAGCAACACAAATGTGGAAATTGTCGACAACGCAGACATATGACCATATTAATTTTCCTATATCCGCGACACTCAATTTGAGAAAGTAACTCACTCTCTGATTGTCATCAATACAAATAATTGCCTGTAGATGTAATAGGGTATTTTGAATGTTGATGTACGTTAATGCAAATTGAAGCTGTATAATGAATTAGCAGTTTCACTACATTGTAAGTCATCACTTGATTGTATACACTCAGAATTTAATGACCACTGGATTTCGTGCACTTGTGAATTCTTTACAAGTTTTCTGAAAAACGCGCTGCTTGTTTATCTGTTTTTCCCGAAACGCAGAAGAGCTGTGTCATATAAAGCTCGCAATAACTGACTGGGTTATCAACCGTGTCAGCTTTTTAGCGTGCACCATACTTTACGGGCCAAGTTTACCTACGAGTTTAACAGCGAAGGGAAAAGAGAAGCATAAACTTGCAGATCGATGCAGACATCATCGTTAGACAGAAAAAAGGTAAACGACGTACTTGCATGTACTTGAACTGGCCGCTCACAGGTGTTCATAGCTCAAACCCGCCTGGTGTTGTCTAGGCGGAAATATATAGATGTGCGGTCTTTCTAGGGTGGCAAAGGATATTCTTTCGTTCGTTATTATCGGGAGATAATGGCGACAGAAAGCTTTGAATTAAAATTGCATTGAGCAAGAAGCTAGAAGGTAATAGAGCTTAAGAGAGATTAAGGGGAAATATAATGTCTGCTTCGTGGAATGTTTATCCGTTCGTTCCTTACGCGCATACGCTCGCTGCTGAAAATGTTCTAGAAGCTTTGAAAGTTGCAAGATGTTGGCATCAATCCCAGACGTTTTTTCAGAATCCCAAACGTAATTTAGAGAAGTAATCTAAACAAAATTGCACTACATAGTAAAAGTAAAATATCGAGGTGGATACATTAAGATGCCTCGATAAATGCCCTGTGAAACGATTTGTGGAGTATACAAGGCCCTGAAGCTATTTTTTGATAAACTTACCTCTCTGCTGGCACGTTCTCTAACGAAGCCTCTTCCGTGTAGATCCCTGGACATTTTTCATTAAGAAACAAAGTGTTCTAGGTGACGTGGCCCATCGATGAATCTCAAATTTAAACAGTTTGAGTACGACAATCTCTTGTTTTTATTTGCATAGACTTATGTTGCTTGATTGTTTCGAAAACTTTGCAGTTAGAAAAAGGTGAGTGTCATTTATGTTTTGCATCAATGAGTACCAATCGGCAAGCGCTTATTTATGATCCAACAAATGGGGGCAAAAAAGAAAAAGGCCCACGAGGAAGGCACGCCATGCAGGCTATCTCATTCCCTCTAACAGAACTGTAGTTTAGAAAAGCTGCTGAGGAGTACGATAATGGAATTGAGAATGTACAAACTTAACTGATATCTGGATACATGCAGTTGAACCTCGATACAACCCCTACGTAACGAAGGACCCCGCCATTATAACTAATCATATTCTTCGCCCCAGTGAAAATAGAAAAAGTAACTATGGAACAATAAGACCCCCCAATGGAAGAACCCAGATACAGAGTTTCACGGAACACTTTTATTACCAAGGAAATTAAATAACCTTTACATCACGGAGACATTCGTCTGTGTATGTAGCAAACGTTCCGAGGGAAATTTTCCATGGCAAATGTCTATGGACAGGAGCTCATAACCCTACCATGGATAAAAAACTAATAATTACTATTATTGTGGTATTATTTTCAATATGGAAATAAATTTACCATGTGTTGTAATTGCACCTAATATAAAGAAGGTATATAAAAGTTATAATGGGTTCCAGGAGAGAATCCTTTCTTGTCGGGTATTGTTCCATACAGTCAAGACCCGCTTCCAGGCGGACCCCCGCTCAAAACGGACACTTCATTATTACGGACAGTTTGCTTTGTCCCTGGGAAAACAAAGCCCTTATATTCCCTCTAAATTCAACCCGTTTAATACGGACACCCCGTTTATACGGACACTTTCTATGGTCCTATCACCGTTCGCATTAACGGAGTATGACTGTACTTTGAGTACTTCACATTGTACTGAGACGATGATTATGCAGGGTCCGTTGTACATCATGACACAATGAATTGTCCCAGTTTTCTGGCACTTTCCTAGTTCTTGATTGTACCATCAGAGTTGATCTTAAAACATATACAGTTAGTAACATATCCGGAAAATCAAATAGTGAACCTCGAGTAATAAATTGGTTTCATTGCCAGCCATTTTACGAAAAAAAGAAACTAGTCGTTCGCCCTTTTTACTCCACTGTTACACAGTAACAACATGGTAACGTTACCCGGCCAGCAAAGGTTTCTTTTCGGTGTGGGTTTAAGCATTTATGAAGTCTTTTTTGTTGCTAACATTCGCCTAAATGTAATTGGCTTCTTTACGTCCTTAAAGCTTAAAACCATGCCAGAACAGACAAACCTCTGCAAGCAGGGTAGGTAACGTGGCTGGATCTAGGAGGTTTAAAGAGGAGGTAGGTAGGATTAAACATTATGGAGCTTAAGCACCCACGACGGCGACGGCAACGAGAGCGGCAAAAAAAAACCAATAAGTTTCGATAGGCAAAATAACAACTTTGCACGTGCATCATGCTTTTTTGTACATTTCGTAGTCTTCGTTGCACGACTACGAAAATGGTGAAAATGCATAATTTCAAGTTTTGTCGAGGACGAGAACACAAGACAACAACTTTCTTTTTCATTTCTTGAACTTTGATAGAGTCCTTTAGAATTCAACTCCAAAAAAAAATTACCAACATTTGACGAATTAAACGAGATGGAACAGGCGCGATAAAGTTTGAGGAAGCGCGAATTCACTTTTTAAGTAACGTTTTCGTAGCCGTCGCTTTCGTTGTTGGTTAAGCTCTCTATTACTTCTACAAGGAAAAGTCAACTATATAAACCACTAATGTCATGATAATCGTGCAAAACACAATTTTAACTAGTAAATTAAACTCAAGGTGACGCGCCTGTCAAGTGTCAGAAACAGTGTGGTGCGGTCTGGGCCAGACAAAGAGTGTTAACATGACTCTTATTTCACACCGTACATTAGTATATTAAACCCTGCATTTTTTTACTACAGTGTTACTGGGAGATGTGAGTCATTTTCAGACATCTGGAACATTCACAAAAAAGCCATACAAAAAAGGTTTACAACGTTTTTCTAGTTGGTTTAGTTGTACGTTTTGTCCAGATTTCGTGGATTTATATACTAGCCAGTGGTTAAAAAGGTGTACCCATCATGATTGAGGGTGCAAAACAAGTTCCTACCAAATGAAGGCTGCTTGCGAATGTTCAGCCTTTTAATCAAGGACCCTCCCTCCAATCCCCGACCCCCCACCCCTCCCTATATCCGCTATTTAGCCTGCGAGCAAGCTCTCCTATTTGGGCAAGCGAAGCGAGCCTCGAGAGAACGCGCGACCGAGGGGCCTCGCGGCTTGGCCGCTCGCTCGCGCGTTTTCGCGAGACTCGCTTCACCCGCCCAAATAGGAGAGCTCGCTCGCAGGCTATCCGCTATTCTGTTAACGTACGAAATTTCATAGTTCGTAATATACATGTCTCTTTCAATTCCTGAATGTAGCAGCTTGCATCCAGGGCTCTTCAATTAGATAGATTTGAATTCCAGCTGTTGCAATCATTTCTTTTCATGCTCTTTATCCATCGTCAAACACAATACTAAATAAGGATCATGGTCACTGATTTGAAGAATCCAGCTCTTTGTGCCCGGCTAATGGCTGATGACAGACCACCAGAAGTTGCTCAATTTACTTGTCTTATAACTGCAACTGAAAACAGATCGTCGCTTGTGTTATTTAAGAAAGCTGGTAGCTATCAAGTCTAAAATTCGCGTTTTTCGCAAATTCAAAACAATCCCGAAATCTACAACTCGCGAAAACTGGGATGGAAGAAAACTAAAAGTTGCGAAATTTAGTACTATGTCACGTTACAAAACAAAAGAATTTAAAGTTGCTGTAAGTCGTGGACGTGATGACGATGATTTTAGGTAATTTCAAACATTGTTCTTCTTCTCCGTAGATTTTTCCATATTTTCTCCCTGCTTCACTATCATCTGTGTCCTAATGTACAAATCTTTCAAAACTGTCTTTGGTACATTCACTTAACTTTATGGTCGGCTCTCTCTTTAATTTTGGCGCTGTTCCTTTTCATAAGCAGATCAAAGAATGGTATTATACCCTTTGTAACATCGGTATTTGTTCCCCCAAAATCGCGGAATACCATTTATGAATTTTCGTGCGAAAATTTGTAAGAATAATATTCACTGTAGACGTATATCTACTAATTGTGTTGTGGTGTGGAGACTGTTTAGGCCAGGAGCCATAATCAATCATACCTCCTAGCTTGGGCTGCAAGTAGCCCAATATTTTCTTCAAATTAGGGACTTTAAGATTCAACCGGACTCGACGGCAACGAAAACGTCCTAAAAAAAGGACTTTGCACAGGCATCGCGCTTTTTTGTACATTTCTTTGCCGTTTTTGCACAAGTAAGACGTGAAAATGCCTAATTTCGTGTTTTATGGAGAACGTAAACAAGCAACGAAGAAATTTTATTTCGCTTTCTGAACTTGAGTATGGTCCCTTGGAATTCAGATTCAGCAGTGTTCGCGTACATTTGACCAAGTAAGTAAGTAGGAATAATCGCGATAAAGAATGAAGAACACAAATTCACTTTTTAAGCGACGTTTTCGTTGCTGTCGCGTCGTTGGATCTTAAAGTCCCTTTCAACTTTTTAGTGAAGAAAGTACTCGCGCGTGGGGGAACCCGCACCCACAGCCGCGCGTGCCGTTATTTGCGTGTTTCGCGCCTTTCGCTCCACGGACTGAAATATTAGACACTGCTCATAGAGTCTAGGTACTGTTACGATCTGTTAGGTTACAGTAACTCGAAAAACTGACCTTGTGCCGCCTGTTTTTGACCGAGTAGAGAAAAGCTCACCTTTAATTCTTCTTTTTAGATTCTGTTGGCAACTGTACGTGGAAGAATTTTATTCTTGTGCCGGACAAACCAATGGCGACAAGAGGCTGATTCAGACAGGCTCCCAAACAGAGCGGTTGCTCTCCAATGTCTAGAACGCTTAGAAGATCGCCGGTTCTGACATTATACAATCGAAGGAAGTTGTCTCCACTGCAGCATACGAGAGATTCATCATCTAAAAACTTACATTCAATAATGTCTTTCTGGTCTCTAAGAAAGACGTGCAATGTCTCTCCAGTTTCCGCCTGAAGAACGTGTATACCTTGGCCCCCGTCGAGAGTGTTCCACGTGACTACAAACTCATTCGTGGGTGAGAAAATCATGTGCTGTGTTAATGGAGACAATGAGAGCAAGTATTCTGTCCTTCGTTCCCATTTGATTTGTTCATTCTTTCTTAAGCTACGTACGGTGAGCTTCTCGTGGTTTATCGGCCCCCCCATATCTTCAACTATGCAAACCAACACTTCACCCATACGACTGCATGAGATGTAGTCAATGCATTCTTTGGCGTCAGCTGGAATCCTTAGCGAGGAAACAAGCTTTCCTCCAACGCTGGTTAAGTCTACAAAGTCAATGCGATAAGCATGCATACCTAACAATTTTAGAAAGAAGTTTAAATATTCCTCGTTTTCTTTCGATTCGAAAGAGTCCTCGTTTTGCTGTGAGTTTTGAGAATTCACTGGATAAAAGAAAGCTATCAGTTCATCTGATACTGGTATCATTCTTACTTTATACAAAACAGTAGTATCACTAGTAAGTTTAGCAATACTTCTGATGCACTTAGACAGATCGAAATTCCACAACTCTGCTACACGATCATTTTTGAAGAGTACAAGACCTTCCTTCGTTGGAACAATCGACACAGGGCCAAAGAATGTCTTTGTTTTCAGGAATTCTCGACTTGTCATTCTCCAGATAGTTATCTCTACCACTTCTGAACTAATGTAGACAAACCTGCCTGAACTTACGACGTATATTGCATCGCCTTCCATAGAAAAAATAATCTTCCTGACACCCATGTTAACGTTCGAGGAGTGAGTCGAGTCGGACTTGCTTTGCAGTAGACCAGCATTTAACATCGTTACGTATTTGTGATCTGGGCTACCAATTAAAACTTTTTCATCGTTAAGGCTGATGTAGGAACCTGAGAACAAATATGGAATCTCTCTCTGCGCCTTCGACACCCAGGAAGGTTCTTCATTTTGTCCCATGAAAGTGTATTCAGTCAAAGTGTTTGGTGGAACAGAGGGCCACAAGAGAAAGGTTCTAAATTTCAGAGGCTCAAAATGAGGATCAGGTAAAGAAATGTTATTTACCGACCTAATGAAGGTAAATATTGGTTTTCTTTCTTCTCCTAACCGGCAGTGAGCTTGATCACATTGCCAATATAGAAAGCAGCAAACAAGGGTGTTATTGTCGGATGTGAATTGCATCAATCCACATACCGATTGATAATCATCAATCCCGAGTTGTAGAAAACGAAACTGGTTTTCTTCGTCAAAAAGAGTAATTTTATTAGTAATGTCACAAATGGCGATACGTGTCCCATCTTCAGAAACGGCAAAGGAAGAAATTTCGTCATTGCACTCGATTAATTTAAGTTTTTGGCCATTTTCCATATCCCAAATGTTCATCCGCTTTGGCTCTGTATAGCAAGTTGTGAAAATTAGGTTCTTGTCAAACCGAGAACGTACGACACAATTTGAGAATGAACAGTCGCTGTCGGGGAAAAGATCTTCTATCTCTCCACTTATGGTGTAAACATATCGAAGAGTCCCTGGTAGTACCGACTTCCCATTTGGATGAAAGATGACAGAATGGAAGAATGACAGGGAATGCTTAATTCGCCGATATGCACCACTCCCATGTAATTCTCTAGAACCATACTCTCTCTTTACAGTCTTTATAGGTGATGGTCGAACCCATACTTTGGTACCCGTATGCAGGGAAAACAGATGAATTGTTTCATCTTGACACTCGCATACCAAGTAATCCTGTTCAGGTGAAACATCAAAATATGCGATTTTATCTGAACAGTAAAATCGTCCTTGGACGGCTTTTTCATTTTGTTTGTCATTGTCTAAGTTCTTCATGCATGGAATTTTGGGTGTTGATGACTCAATAATCCTCGCTGCGGCAGACGATAATTCAGGAGTACCTTCGTTAATCAAACACTGGAAAAATAGGTGAGGGTGATCAAACAAGATGTAAGAGTGTTTTCTTAAAAGACTGAGGAGAGAAGTTACAACAAAATCTCTTTCCTCGCTTACTATTCTGGAATTCTCACGGTGGAGGCTAAGAAGATCTTCTATGGCTGTTGTGCTCTTAACACAAAGCTTTGCATAAATAAGCTCTAGGTCTGTTGCGTATCGGTAGACCTGTTCTGCTGTGACACTGTTGATTCTTGTTTTGTCCGCCCAGTCATGCTCTTTGACCTTAAGCATGTGCTGAGTACCATGATGCAAAGCATATGTTTCAGTATTCGAAAACTGTTTGCCATGAACCCCTTTTTGCTGCACGCTATCCAATTCAGAAGCACAAAGATGAGAAAGGACAATATGACCTTCTTTCTCGTTCACGGTGAAATGATGTTGTTCATAGGGCGATGATGCTACTAGCCAGTCCTTGATGGACTTGTGAAAAAAGTGCAGACGACCCTCCCGAACTGGTAACAGTGTAGAGATGGAAGATATTGCTTTTTTAACTTTTCGCTGCGCACTCAAAGACTTTTCTCCAGGGTATAGAATTTTGGCAATGAATTCTACTGGTAATGGTTCTCTTGAAGCTGTCAATGCACACAGGAAACGCAAAAAATGTTCCTCATCTGCATTAAGCTCTTTGCAAAGTTCATTCTCTAACCGTTTGAAATAGCGCGAGTAAACGGATGAAATACCTGAAGGAAATACCCTTTCCAGCTGATCAGGGGTAAGAATTGAAACATTCTTTTGAACAAAATCCACTATAAAGTAAGCGTAAATAAACAGGCCTTCTGATTTCTTAACCAGCTCTTTCAAGAGAATATCTTTATGTTCTTCACCAATTTTGTGGCTGAACCGTATTTCAAACAAGGTTCGAATGTCATCTAAGTTTTCCTCTTGCTTTTGTTCAAGCTCGATTGGCTGTAAATGTCGCAATGCCTCTGTTATGCTCCTCTCTGGACGAGTTGTGATCAAAATTCTAATCCAAACTGGAAGCATAGAAAAGTGGTTACTGATTACATGAAGGAGCTCATTACGTCCCTGGTATTCGCTTTCATCGAGGCCATCTATGACTATTAGGGTGTTTCTTCCAGGATCTTGTACTGTGCTTAGAGGCTCTTTGAACAGCAACGCAAAAAGCTCTTCCACACCCATGCTGTTGAGGTCTTTACCCAGATTTCTAGACAACTGTTCCTCTAGAGCATCTTTGTAGCTTGGCATCGCTTGACACAGGTGGCAGGCCAAAGACTGGAGCATTAAACGTGGATCTCGGTACCGTGAATTGTTATGCTGACAAAAGTGGCTCCCTGACAATCTTCCAGCCTTTTGCATTCTCTGCGAAACAACAGCGGAGACAACAGTCTTCCCCATCCCTGGATTTCCACTGATTACCATCACCTTATGTGGTAAGCTTCGGTCGTCTAACCAGCCTTCAATTCTTTTAAAGATCCACTCCCGAGTTCCTTCTTGGAACTTTTTTGCATGATACTCGATGTCTCCTTTAAATTCAGACATCACAAGAGACTTTAGCACCTCGTCTGCATGCTTGTTCCTCTTTTTCGTCAAACTTTTTACTTCCTGTTTGACTTCTTGAATTGATTCATGAACTACATCCACTGCATGAATGGTTTTGGATTGGGAATCACACACTTTCTCAAAACGTAAAATACTTTGCTGATGTGCTTCATTCGTCGCTTTCAATACTTCTTCTGCAACGTCCTGTGTTTTACATTGGGTCTCACTGAGTTTTAATTGTGTCTGAAGGACTTGGGAAATAGTTTCCTCAGTCTTGGTCTGGGATTGATGGATATCCTTTAGCTGTGTTTTTATGTCCTCTTCACTGTCAGCCCACTCAATTAAGGCATCAAGGTAATCTTCCTCTCCTCCCTGCTCTGCCTTCAGTCTGTCAATTTCAGCTTGATCTAAACCGAGCGAATAAAGAGTGGTGCTTATTTCATGCCAGAAGGAGGAGAACGATGTCGCATCAACCCCCGTGAACGTTACGTGACCATACAACTCATTCCGAAAGAACTTAACGCGAGCAAGGTTAGCCTCAAGAGAGTTATCACCAGGGGATGGCTTGGTGTGCCATCCTGTCAGGGGAGGGGATAAACCACAAATGTTGGTTAGTAGAAGGAACAGAAGGGTGATGTCAAATGTGTTAGAATATGGTAGCTTTCCACCAGGGGGGAACAGTTTGTCCCACTGACGGCCATTTAGAACTCTTCTACGCAAAAGGTTGTTAAGAATGGAGTAATTGGATTTGAGACCAGAAGCCAAGTTGGCAGGTGGGTGATAGCGATCAAACACATTCCTCAGTACTGTTGTTCCACCATCGATGAGAAGCCTGCTTAGCTTGTTTCCATTTGTCTTCTCTGGAGAGCTGGCCAGGGGTGAAGGTGTTGCAGTCGCCATTTAGCAAATTTGACGCAGAAGAAAACTTTTCTGTCTTGGAAATTCGTTCTTAACCTACGTTTTTCAAGAGAGATAAAACGTAAGTCACACCACAACGATCAACTCGCTCCATCATTGTTTTCATTTAATTTGTGTTTTTGTAATTATTACTTTCATGATCACAAGACCATGAAACTATAAAGACGACGTCACGCGTAACTATGAGAGTTCGCGAATATTGCATTGTAATCGTATACAAATGAGAAATATGAGAATTATGGGAGTATGACTAGTAAGAAATTAAAACCAATGCCTTCGAGAAGGGTGTTAAACACGACATTTGCTGTCGAGGGTATTAAGAGAACACAACAGCTAGATTTACGACAGTGGACGATTTGAGTTGGTTAACCGAGCGCGGTTAGCAGGAGAAGAGCTTTTGAAGTCTCAAGGTTCCACTTTACTGGATATTAGGGAGTTATACAGCTGCTTTAATTACAGGACATAGGGCGGTTTCTCTTTCTGCATATGAAAGCAAATACTTAAGGCATAAAAGTTTGGAAATCATTAACTGCCAGATCGTTTTGTAGAACCAATCATTATACATTATATGTTTTTTGAAGCACCTGAATGGACAAATCGTTGGTCTATTTAGTTTTATAAAGAGCGATATTGAACAGAATAATCTAGCTAAGCAACATAACACTGACGAGCAAAACAAATTTGTAAGACGACAAAAAAGGCAGACATGGACCATATCAGTTTTTCTCAAATTTGCGACACTCAATAAGAGAATAAAAGGGAGAACACTCTGACTGTCATCATAATCATGTAGTATTTTCAATTTTAAAGTACGGTAATCGATATTCAAGCGATGAATTAGCTTTCACTGCCTTTTAAGTCATCATTTGACTTTATACATTCAGAATCGATATGACTACTGGCTTATTTTTTCGTTCATTTGCGAGTTCTTTACAAGTTTTCTGACAAGGCGTTGCTTGTTGATCCGTTGTTCCCCAAAGCAGAAGAGTAGTGTGTCATATAAAACGCGCAATGACTGCGGCTGCGGGTTATCAACCGTGTTAGCTTTTGACGCGCACCATACTTGAGGTTTATCTACGATTTTAACAACAAAGGGAAAAGCTAAGAAACGCATAAACTTGCAGACATCTTCAATACACAGAAAAAAAACCCAGGGGTGTACGTTGTACGTGCATGTACTTGAATTGGACGATTACAGGCGTTCATAACTCAAACCGGCCTGGTTTCTCCAAGTCAGAAATATAAGGATGTGTCTCCTCACTACTGACGGTCGCAAAGAATATTCCTTCGTTCGATATTATCAACGTCGGTTATGTCTTCTACTAGAAACACATGAGCTGATGGTGACAGAACGCTTGAGTAAAACATTCATTTAGCAAGAAGCTACATGTAGAAGCTAAAAGAGCTTAAAAAAGCGAAGAGTTTAAGGCCAGTTGTAATATCTGCTTTAAGAATTGTTTATCGATTCGCTTCTTATGCTCTCTCCTAAAAAATATTCTACAAACTTTGAGAAGTGCAAGTTGTTGGCATCGATCGGAATTTCATTTTCAGAATCCCAAACGTAAAGGAAATAATCTTAACAAAACTCAGCACTACATAGTAAAGGTGAAATATCGAGATGGATACATCTAGATGCCTCGATAAATGCCCTGTGAAACGATCTATGGCGTACACAAGGCCCTGAAGCTATTTTGATAAATTTACCTTTTCGGCTGCCACATTCTCTAGCAAAGCTTCTTCCATGTAGATCCCTGGACATGTTTCTTAACGAATCAAGGTGTTCTAAGTGACGTGGCCCATCGATGAATCTCAAATTTAGACAGTTTGAGTACGTACGACAACCTCTTGTTTGCATTTGCATAGACTTATGTTGCTTGACTGTTTCGAAAATATTGCAATTAGAAGAGGGGAGTGTCGTTTTGTTTTGCATCAATGAGCGCCAATTATCGACAAGCGCTTATTGTTAATCCAACAAAATAAGTCTTAGTCCTGGATAGGGGCAAAAAGGCACGCCACGCATGCTATCTCATTCCCTTCAACACAACTGTAGCTTAGAGAAGCTGCTGAGCAGGACGATAATGGACAAGAAAAAAAAGAAACGAATCAAACAGCAACAACAGTCAATCACACCCCTACTCAAGAGCTTTAATAAACACAGGCAGCCCAGGCTCTAAGGGAGTTCGTTCCAAATTTTCCGTTTTTTAAACAGAATTTATGAGAACAAAGAAAGTATATCTGTCTGATTTTGGAAAAAGGTACCCTACAACAGAAGAGGGTCTGTAACAAATGTGTGTCTTTTCTGTGGTTTCAATATTGACTTAACTTCTAAATTACCAAAAAGGCCTTAGAGTGGCCAAGCTTCTTTCAAGTATGGTAGAAATTGGCTAATGAGCCACACCCCTTCTCCCCCTATTCCCCTCACCCCTGCATCCGAGGCCCTTGTCGTAACAGCTTATATGGGCCGGAGCAGAAAAACAATAAACTAACAGCGTGCAATGACTTCAATGCTTGCGTGCATGACCACTACTGTATAACGGAACGTTAGATAGCTACTCTAGCCAATAGTTGGGACTCTGAGAAAGGTGCCCTTTTCTAAAATCAGACAGAAAATTAATATGTGGTAATTTCGCAAAATGACTTTCTCCACTGGCCAGCTATCTGCTGCAGTAAGTATTCAAGCGGTACACAAATCATTACTTATCCAGCTACAGTGAATAATATGTGGTAATTTCCTAATGACAAGGTAACTGCACCAATATGAATGTACTCAACAGCTTTCTCTAATAGCCAGCTATCTGCTGCAGTGAATATTGAAGCAGTACACAAATCATTGCTTATCTGTTAGGGTGAATCAATACGTGGTAATTTCCCAAACGACCATGCAGCTAACTGCACCAATGAATACTCATTCACTTTCTCTAATGGCCACCTATCTGCTGCAGTGAATATTGAAGCAGTACACACATCATTGCTTATCTGTTAGGGTTAAATTAATAATTAATTCTGTCTGATTTTGGAAAAAGGTACCCTACAACAGAAGAGGCTCTGTAACAAATGGATGTCTTTTCTGTGGTCTCCAAAATTGACTTAACTTCTGAATTACCAAAAAGGCCTTAGAGTGGCTAAGCTTCGTTCAAGTGTGGTAGAGGTTGGCCAGCGAATCACGTCCCTTTCCCCTCAAACCCCCACCCCCCCTCCACCTGCTTCCGAGGCCCTTGTCCCAACAACTAATATGGGAGGAGTATAACAAACAAAAAGTATGCACTGATTTCTACGCTCTAAAGAGTACTTTTATACAGAACAAGAACACTGAAAAAAAGTGAACAAATTTCTTAAGAAAACACGATCCGAACAAATCTCGGATTACGCCGTTTTACGCTATTTAGAAAAAGACGGACAATTATTTTGCGCGCCCTTCAATAGAGAGGGCCTGGGCTCCACCAGAGTCGACGCAGTAAGAGACAAAACTGCGGAATCCAACTTCGCTTGAATTGGAAATATCATCAGTCGCCTCCATACGAATTTGACAAAAGAAAAGCTTAGGAGAAACATGTCCTCTACGGCGGGGTAAGTTACCATGATAACTGAGTTAGCGGGTGGCTGATCGAATTGGCCCGCGTGTGATGATAGCCGCCGCCATTTTAGCTGCACTATTCGTGTCTCGTTTTCCTTGATTTGGCGGCGGGGTGGGGGGAAGAAATTCTGGGTCAAAATAAGCACCTTTGGGTCTTGAATTTGTCTTGGTGGGTGCGTAGTTGATTTTAGCTAAGATCTCGTCAGTAATCCAAGGTGTGGTGGATAATTTCTTCTCCTTCTTCGGACATTGACAAGTGAATTCAACTCATCAGAAACAACGACAACAACAACAGCTTTATTTCAGTATTCCCACGTGAGTGCATGGTATTACCTACATTATTCGTTACAAATCTGAAATCAAAACAAAGGCTATGATATGAAAGAACAAGTTTTTGTCTACATTCCATACATGACTGCATGTAAGGAGATGAAAGTCTGCAGATATCAGGATCGACATTGTCAAATACGAAGAGGGTTTCTTCATTGTTGTCAAAATTCTTAAAAAGGGAATGTCCAATCCTAATGTCTCGGTAAAAGTTAGATCGAAGACTATGGAAGGGGCAAATGCGAAAATTTTCTAGAGTTTTCGGTACTGGGGGGACTTATGTTGATTATGCTCAAGCAATCATGCACTTTTGTGACAGTCAATTTTGAATACTGAGTAAAATTTTAGTTTCTTGTTACTTCGTATTAGATTATATTGGTGTGAAGTCAGTTCTTCACGTATAGTTAATTGGACATTTTTCATATCTGTTGAGGAGTTGTTATCATTTGAATACAACAACAACAACAACAACAAGTTTAGCCAGTATTACCATTTTGTACAGGTGTTACCGATTAAAATAACAGTAATAAACAGCTAAGTTTAAGGGAATGCAGATATGATGGAACGGTAGAATTAACTATGTTTCTTTCGTCTTTCAAATGCTTGAAAGACCAAATTAGCAGCTAGCCTGCTGATATGTGAATCAGTATTGTTAAAAAGAAAACAGACTTTATCATGGATATTGTAATGTGTAAATAGTGTATTTCGGTCGTTGATTTTAAGAAAAAGAGTCTTTCTCAAATCATGGTATTGATCACAGTGAAATAATATATGTGCAGTTCATTTTCAACCGAATTTTGGTGGCAATGATCACAGATTCTAAGGTCTTCAGGAGTTTTGGGGATTATAAGTCTTCCGGTTTCTATTTTTAAATTGTGATTTCCTATCCTAAATTTGGAAGCTACACGCCTATGTTCAGGATTCGGATATGATTGATGAATTCAGAGTGATTTGTTTCAT